ATCTCTACTTTTTTTGATACCCCACTGCGCTCAGGCCGATCGCGTCTGTCGGTTCAATATGTCTAGTGAACGCGAGAGGTGTCTGAGAATGAATGTTAAAAAGACAGGTTAATAAATCCGTGAAACAGCAGTGTGCCTGCTTGAAACCACGCTATTTTTAGCATCATTTTGTGCATCGCACGTAGATTACGTCACGACAGTTAACTTCGCTTGGTCCAACGATTAGTTATTGTGGTCACTCTTACTACTTTTTTTTCTGTTTTTTTGGTAAATGTCTGCTTCTTTGGTAGGTTTTCAGCTATTTTGGCTAGTTTTAGTAGACAATTTTCTTTTGGTAGATTTCTATAAATTAAATAGATTACTTAAAAATAATCGATTCTTTATGATTTATCGATTCTTTTCAATTCTTTTCGATTATTTTTATCCTTTTCGATTCTTTTTGATTCTTTTCGATTCTTTTCGATTATTTTTGATCCTTTTCGATTATTTTTTATCCTTTTCGATTATTTTCGATTCTTTTCAATTATTTCGATTCTTCTCGATTATTTTCTATTCTTTTCGATTATTTTCGATTATTTTAGATCCTTTTCGATTATTTTAGATCCTTTTCGATTATTTTTGATCCTTTTCTATTTTTTCCATTCTTTTTGATTCTTTTCGATTCTTTTCGTTTCTTTTCGTTTCTTTTCGTTTCTTTTCCTTTCTTTTCGATTCCTTTCTATTCTTTTCGATTTTGTCGTTTTTTTTTTCGAATATTTTCGATTTTTTCGTTTGTTTTCGTTTCTTTTCGATTCTTTTCTATTCTGTTTGATCATTTCGATTATTTTCGATTCTTTTCGGTTCTTTTTGATTCTTTTCCATTCTTTTCGTTTTTTTTTTTCGAATAATCGATTACTTTTATGAATCGATTATTTATTTATTTATTTATTTATTTATTTATTTATTTATTTATTTATTTATTTATTTATTTATTTATTTATTTATTTATTTATTTATTTATTTATTTATTTATTTATTTATTTATTTATTTATTTATTTATTTATTTATTTATTTATTTATTTATTTATTTATTTATCACTAGAGTACAGCAACTTAGTTAACAGTATAATATTGTAATCGATTAATCAAAATCGAATATAATATAATATCTGACTGCTTTTTTCTTTCTGCTTTTTGGTAGATTTCTGCTTTTTTGATAGGTTTTCAGCTATTTTGGCTAGTTTTAGTAGACAATTTTCTTTTGGTAGATTTCAGTAGATTTCTATAAATTAAGTATATTACTTAAAAATAATCGATTCTTTTTGATTTATCGATTATTTTCGATTAATCGATCACTTTTAGATTTTTTCGAATAATCGTTTTTTCCAATAATCGATTACTTTTATAAATCGATTACTTTTATAAATCGATTATTTATTTATCACTAGAGTACAGCAAGTTAGTTAATAGTTGTAGTGTTTGAAAACAGTATAATATTGTAATCGATTAATCAAAATCGAATATAATATCTCTAAAAAATCGAAAATATCCGATTAATCTAAAATAATCGATTTTTGTATTTTGTTCGGAGTTTGTAGTGCGTAAATGTCACGAGTTTCAGATGAAATAAAAACGGTAGTTTCTGCGCTTGTACCATTTCTAGTAATGGATCCTCTAAGTGATGGTATCAAGAAACCTTTTCATGACTCAGGAATTCGGAATTTAATTGTATTAAAACGGACGATGCCAAAGAAGTTTTGAGGGATATTGGCTCTTGTACATGCTAAATTATTGTAAAAAAATGAACCCTTATTTTAAAATACCACGAGTCGCCACTGATTTAATTACTTTACCTTATAACGCCGTTTTTAAATGCAATTCGAAAGCTATATTAAAAATGCCCTTTACTAAATCAATTTGGTTATCGCGAAGACTAAGTGTACTTCTTGTTAGAAACAATAAAACTAAACTCATCCCCTCTTCTTACGTGTCCCAAATGAACCCCGAATTTTGTATCATGTCAAACAGTGGGGTACCTACAGTGATTAGAAAAACTGAAAACAATACATTATTATTTCTCTAAAAATACACAAAACACAAACGACTGAGACGACACGGAGATTTTAAGGTTAGATTTAGATTAAAACCGGGCGGCATTTATCACAGCCGCATTAAAACTAAATCGTTTAAATCATAAGCGAACCTTGTTTTTGTCTAAGGTATGTGCTCTTGGAACAGTATAAAACTCAATTAAATAAAACCCTTTGATCTTAACGTTTCCTTGTCCATTAAATAAACGGTTTTATTTAACTTCCGGCCATTTTACTTTTTCGAGACGGTGGAAGCCATAATAGATAAAAATATTTAGGCTTACATAAAAACGACAAGTTGACCACTTAAACGTATAATTTCAATTTCTTTTAATACAGAAAAATCTAAAATAATAGATATAATTATTTTTCTTTTAATTTTATGTATTTTCAATTTTTTTATTTATTTTTTTTTATTATTATTATAAAACTCATCGATAAAGTTCACTTCAAAACCGCGTGTGTTTAAAATGTATTTAAACTGGTTTTAAAAGGGTTTTCACAGCAGCTGTAAAATCGGATGTTCAAGGTAATATAGTTTTATAGTGGTTTTTATTTTTGGTTTTATTGAACTCTTTCAGAGTGGGCCCTTTTATACTGAAGGCGTATTTATTACAACCTTAAGGCTTCTTTTAAAACTAATTGGTTTTAATTGCAGTTTTATTCTACAGTTTTAAAGCATCCTTGAAGTACTGAATAAAACCATTCGATGCTACTTGGTTTACCTCCGAATTCTTGTGGATTACACCGATTTTGATAATAACCATTTTTATCAATATCCTTCAGTTGACCCTAATTGGATGACAATTTTGACAGTTGTCACCGGAGAGCACGTTGCACATTTTTAATTACAAAAAAACACAGACACCAACTTGCTGGAACCAAATTTCATCAAAAAGTTAAGTGATTTCTATGATTTGAAATAAACGAACTAAGTCTGGAACTATCTGCTCTTGGGAAAGTTGCAATTAACGATCACCCTTTATAGTTCCTCTCATGAAGAATGGTTCAATAAATCTTCCTCTAACTATACCAGCCCAAACATTTAACTTTTGTGGATATTGGGCGTGACCTTCTTCCATCAGACTAATATGTTTATTTACAAATCCACTGAGACAAAATGTTGATTCGTCGAAAAAAACAATGTTCAACGTATTATTTTCCATTATCGACATCCATCATTTTTTGACAGAATTGCATTCGCATGTCTGAATTGAATGAAGATCAATTCTTGGTGTAATTGCACTTTTTAGGGATGAAATTTATTGACTTTCAGAGTCCTTACAGATCTCTCGCTCATGATATTGTCTAACACAAGCTTTGGAACTAAAGTTTTTGGTTCTTCCTGTACACATTATTAGGTGCATTTTCTTCATCAGTGACTGTCCTCTACCGTCCAGATCTGGGATTGTTTTTCACACTTCCTGTTTCATTGAAGTTCAAAAATTGGAAAAATCCTATAAGGAAATGTTTCATTGAACAAATCATAAGCTTCTTGCAGATATATCAAATAATCATTGATAGTGTAATTCTCTCTTTCACTCGGTTCGACCATGGTTTAAATACAGATTCTCAGTAGTATCAAATGTTGAGAGTTATGATGGTGGGTGAGGTATGATGGTGGGTGAGGTTTTCCGGGTTTTCCTCACCTGTAAGTCAAATGGCACCATCAATCATCTTTAAGTCGCCCCGGAGCGCCACGGCAAATAATAATAATAGCCGTCCCTTTCCCCGGACAAGCTCAGCTTTTGGGGTTAAAATTCACTCGTAAGGGGGTGAATTAGGGAGAGTATTATTATTATTATTATTATTATTATCTATTGTCGCGTATTGGGCTAGTTTGGGTAAAATGAATATACTCAACTTGTTTAATTGTCTCCAAGAACCAGAATGAATAATTAAAATCTACAGATTAATAAAATATGACAATATTATAAAAATCAAGTAAAAACATTGTCTGAGATGTACAAGAATAATTGTATTAATAAAACTAAATGATTAATATCGAGATGTCATTTATATGACATTTATAATGTCAAAAATTAAAACCATGGCAAAACAAATAAAATAAATTCGTATATTACGATAGCACAGACAACTGTATGGATAGTTGTTATTCATTAATTATTCAAAAGCACGTTTACCTTTCTGGTTTATTATTTTCTTATGATAAGAAGTCAGAGACTATCTGAACCAGAGTCGCCGAGAGCCATGGAACTACACTTAATACAAACTCAAATAATAAAAAAACAGCGATATTGACTCTTGTACAAAGTTTTGATCCGAACTTACAAATGATAAAATTATTGGAAAAAGTGAACACCTAATTTATTATATATATGATACTAATTCAAATGAGATATCAGATCACAAGCAAAATCTCGTGACTATAGCACTAATGATTGCCGAAAATTAACTAATTCATATTTTATGCCATATATTTCTTAATAAGGACTTTCAGAACCATATTTAACTTACTAAATTTTTTTTTGTCATTTTTTATATAGAATCTCATCTCTAAAAATGTATGACTGAAACATCGTGTGAACTATTTGTTCGATCAATAAAAAACTTGCACCGGTCCTGTTCGAGTCAGCACCGTTATACACATGAGCTCCGGGAATATTTTTTCCTTAGGGTTTTATTTTTGATAGGTATATGGAATTGGCTTTCTATACTATTTCTATGCATAAATCGGGTATTCCGGCAATTTTGCCCAACCCTGTATGTGTGTATTGCCTTGTAAATTCCCATGTAAATTAGTTATTTTGACTAAATAAACAAATTAATTATTTTTTTTTATCTTAAATACTTGTTTGGCACATTATTCTACAATTCAAATCAACTTATATTCGTATTTAAGTTGACTTTATTTAAATAAAAATAAGATAATCGGACATTTGCAATGAAGACTTCGTTCTTAATTGCAGCTCAAGTCGTTTGACAAAGAATTAGAAGCATTCGAAGACACATTGACTGAGTATCCTGTTACTTTCCCGCCTTCCTATCCGTTCGAGGAAAAAATCTCTCATGCCACCAGCTACATGCAGACTAGATGCCCTGCTTGGTGCGACAGGGTGTTGCTCAGCAAACAAGCCAAGCAACTAGTCGACGAAGAATCCGAAGAAGTCAAATACGGCCTTATGGGAGTCGACACGTGCATGGGTGACCATAAGGTAAGAAATAATACGGGTTTGAAAGAATCTTTACCAACAGTAATTGTTTTGCGATATATTAATGCTTAAATACACATGTTTCATTGTCAGTGTTAAAATTATGAGATGTTTTAAGGGTTCTTAATTTTATTTAAAATTTCTTATGTTTAGTAACTAAAATCTTCCATTAAATTGTTGGTATATCTCTACAGGTAAAAGATTATGAACCAAATTTGAAGCTATTAGTGTTTTAATTCTGTAAAAGTTGGAATACATTTTAATCAGGATGGCTCTTTTTGTTTTTCACTTTTTTATTTAAAATTAAAAAATCAAATCGACCAATTTTGACTAATTATTTATTAAGTTAAATAAAAAACGGGAAATTCATTTTTATTCAGTGATATGTTGACAATTTTTCTCCTGGTACTCCTGAAGTTCAGCTCTAAAATTTTTCATCACGCTTGTTCGGTTATAGTTTCCATTTCTGTCCGAATATTGTCCTTTAAGTCCTTCAGATTTACAAAGGGGTTGCGAAAAATTCGACATTTAAAATATCTACATAAAAAAAGTCGCATGGAGTCAAATCCGGGCTTCGGGGGAGCCAATTTATGTTTTATCATCGGGAAATCAGTTTTTCAGAAAAAAAAAAGCGCCTGAACAACTGTTAACAAGCGATTCGAAGTATGACTTGTGGCTCCGTCTTATTGAAATCAGGTTTCTTGATCTGCTTCTTCATATTCTTTCAGAGCAGGTGTTAAAAAATAACGAATCATATCGAAATTCAAAATATAATTTTTATGTAAAATTTCATGCTTTATAACTTTTATTAAGAACTTTTTGCTATAGCACCTACCGATTTTAAATAATCTTAAAAAAACATTTTATTTTTTTCTCGCCTTCTCAAGGCCTGAAAAACAATTTTTTTTTCACATCTCGTTTTCAAATACTTTAAAGTTAGGTACTTCTTATAAAAATTTCTGTGTATTTCCTCCAAAATTTGATTTTACCATCTATGTTATGTTCTTCATTGATTGGGTTATTTCGGTAAAAAGTTTTCACCAATAGTTTACATCGTTCCAGTTGTTTCATTGATTGATCTTTTGTTCCATTATGTTTTAATAAAATTATCACTGAATGCTTCTTCATCTGTGGCATAGACTAAACTGTCTGTGATATTCGAGATTTTATTCCTTATTTAATATTTTGACAATTTATTTTATAGTATAGTTTGAAATACACAAACATTTATGTCTACTACCAAAATAAGGTGATGGCCATTCACATAATACACGAATTGGTACTTATGTTAGAGGTCCAAGGTACAGATTATCAAAATCAGAACATAATTCAATTAATATTTAAGGTAGTTCACTTGTAAAACGGCTTTTCTTAAGAATTCAATAAAATTGAAATGTAAGGTTAATGAAAGTGTCTTTTATGTAACTAAAAAAAAAATGAAAATTTTTGACCGTCTGTAAAACGAGATATTTACAATCAAAATGTGCATAATTAACACTCTTGAAGCCTGTCATGTACACAAAAACGGTTCTTACTATATTTTTTAAAAACGAATCAAGAAGTTATAAAATTTTCTAAAAAAACGCTGAATTTTTTGACCGTTTTGGTAAAAAGCTATAGATTTTTATAATAAAAATATTTTTAAAGCAGTGGCGTACAATGATTAAAACTTGGCAACGTTGTAATCGATACACTCAACGCCGGGTAATTCAAATGTCTATTAGATCAGAGCTTCTCTAACTTTTTATTGCCGCGGACCGGTCAAGTTCGATTACTTCACCGCGGCCTTCTGAGGAAGGGGCGTTGTTTATATTTTAGGTTGTTTTGATTTAACAATTTGAATTTAATTGTATTTTAACATGTCTTCAAAATAAAATATAGGAGTGGCACAAAATTGATTGAAAAACATTTGATCTAATTGGAAATTTGATCGAAAAAACATTTTATCGAATGGTATTTGATCGAAGATATATTTGATCGAAGATATATTTTATCGAATAACATTTTATTGAAAAGACAATAGATCGAAAATTCATTAGATCGAAAGGACAATATACCGAAAATTAACATTTAAAATAGTAAAATATCAAAAAATCAAACGACACCATTCAACCGTCCGTCTAATCCCTACTACCGGAGAAACTAAACTCAGCGGCTATTAAAATTAGGTACTAATGGCAAATTTTTAGAATAATCTCAAACGATAGCTACCTCGTTTACCAAATTTTCATCCTTACAATACTATTGATTAAAAAATTAATTCGCACAAAATATGAATTTCAATAGGGTCGAGTTGTCTCCCGATGGGACATTTTAGGTAAATTATTTTAGGTGTTTTTGTATAAAAAATTTGATTAATTTACCTAACCTATTCGACCTGGAGCCGTCGCCGTTTGCCTCGCAAAAAAATTACAAAAAAATGAGAAAGATAAAAAATAACTAATTTACCTAACCTGTGCGGCCTAGAGAAATTTAATTTTAACTGATTACTGAAGTTAGATAATTGTCAATCCTAACGATAGAAGTTTATGTTTCTGAAACAATTGTCGATTTTGAATTACTCACATCAGTATTTTTATTAATATAGTGGAATTTTTACATTTCATTTTCTAATATTTTATTTATTTAAACAAAATTACTCACGAAGTTCAGTTTCACTTTCACTGTCGTCATTCAAATTAATAATGAACCTTTCTCTTGGTAAATTTTCTATATCAATGTATGTCTTTTCCACCTTTTTTATATGGGAAACACACTTGGTCCAGCTGCTATCAGGAATTTTTGCAGCTTCTGTTTGAATAACAGCTACCACAGTTGAACTTAAGGTTGTATTATTTCTTCGAATTGGTGACTTAAGCTGACGCCATATTCGCACAATCCGGTGCAATAAAGTCACAAGTGCAAAAATATTAGAAAGTGACTTTTTAGTCACAAAATACGCCTAATCTGCTTCTAGAGGTACAGCAATGTGGTAAATATAACATATCGATGGCTCAATCAAAAACCGCCACAAGTCAAAAAACAGAGAAAATAACACTTTTGGTTTAATGGATGCAAAATATTACTGAGATTTTATTTTAAATACCGCCACAAACCAAAATATTCTTAGATATGTTCGAAAATGATTTAAAATCTAGCCACAAACTGTATCTAAAACTGCCTCAATTCGGGTTATTTTCTGCAAAAATACTCAAATTTTTTACAAAACTCCGCAATAACTCAAGTTAACTCGTTAATTTTAACAGCAAAATGTCGTAGCTTTTAAATAAAATATAAAGATTTTACGCCAAAAACAAAATAATGATTATAGAGGCTTACAAAATTTTAAAACTAAATTTCTCAAAACAATAGCATTTTAGTTATGGCAGTATTTGATTGAGCCATCGATATACATTAAATAAGAAATTTAAGTTTTAATACATTTCAGTTTATGACGAGCAAAACTTTCAAATGAGTCCCTTGTAAAAAATAGATTTTTGAACTTACGACGTTGTTGCACCTGATGTACGAATGTTCAGTTGGGTTAAACATACAGTGGTAAGGAGGAAGTCTGAGTACCGTATGTCCCAAGCTCCCAACTAATGTGTCACAAAAATATTTCTTTTGTATTGAATAGCTTTTTAAAACTTCCAGTAACTGCTTTTTTGTGTACTTTTCCTCAAAGTACAAATCATTGTTTACCATGTAATCTTGTATGATGGCTTTTATGTCGTTTGAACAAGGTGCCTTATCTAGTTTTCGACTGTGGTATCTGGCATTATCCATGACGATAACACTGTTGGGTAGAATATTTGGTAAAAGTTTAGTTTGGAACCAATCTTCAAATAATTCGGCAGTAGTGTCGTCATGGTAATCGATTAAGGAGTCCTTAATATTTTTTGCCGATAACGACAACGCATTAGGTATAAAACCATTATTGGTTCCTGCGTGTATTATAGTAATACGTTTGCCTTTATTTTGTGGCGCATTAGTGTGGCACAAGTCAGATGAGTCTACCCAACTTTTCTTTGGAATATCGTGTGTATCGAATCAAGTTTCATCCAAATACACAACTGTTCTGCCAGCTTCTCTAAAATCATTTATCGCCAATAAATATTGAAATCTCCATTGCTTAAGGCGCGCAGATTCCATTATGACTTTTGCTGTTATTACATTTTTTAAATTTGAACCCGTTTCTTAAAAGAGACTTCCTTAAAGTATCTTTGCTACACTGGATGTCAGTTTCGTCCTTTTCAAGTCGTTGCATCAATATATCTAGTGAAGGCACAATTTGCCCTCTATACAAGTCATATATTTTCCTTCGAATTAGGTCTACATCACAGCCATCTAGTTTCTTTGAAGTACCAGAGTCTTTTATTTTCCTTCTTTTTAAAATAGGGTTACTTATTTCATGAAAATATATATTTTAATCCGGACCTGGGAATCTTTTAACCAACAGACAATTTTATCGCTTATCTACAAATCGAACAATAGTGATAATGAGGGTCGTCGACTAATGTAATTTATGAGAGTCACTAAATCTCTGGTTTTACTATACTATAGTTTTAATATTACATTCATTACAATTAATATTTAAAAATGAATAAAGGCCCTTTCGTGTCTTTTTAGTAATATTTTCAACAGAAAAAAACTTTCACACCAGCAAAATTTTAAATGTTTTCCCAACTCTAGTTATTCCACGATGCGTCGGCCACTGCACAGGTTATTTTTTAAGTTTGAGGTTTCCTTTCTCAATTTTTTGCAGCATTCATAGCCAAAATTGATTTTTTCGTTTATTAAGGACGTTCTGCTTAACAAATTTTCCTTTATCTCGCAATTAAACCTGACAATAAAACATTTTGATATTTATACTTATTTCACTTATAGGAATACAGTTGACGTTTCACAATAAATTTGCGACGTTGCCGGATGGATTTTACGCGATATAATATCATATCTGTATATATAAGCTTACTTGTGTTGTGTACAGTCTCTTACAAAAATAACCTTTTTTTTAGCATTGG